TAACGGTATTGATGGTAATGAATCAAGTGATGAATGACATATTAAAAGTATTGAAGGAAGTTTTTCAATATAAATTGATTCAAGTATATCATCAAAATATTCATCTTCATTTTCATTCGTTTTTATATTTGTTTCTTCATTTTTAAAACGTTTACGTAAGTTGAAATTAATATAGATGAACATTTAAATATAAATTTTCGTTGTTTGAAATAAGATAATTTTTTTTTTCAATAATATTAATTTTGTATAATAGATTATTATATTAAGGGTGTGGATGTGGGTGTGTGTGTTTCAATACTCTTGACATATCCACACCCACCCTAGGAATGAGAGTGCTGGTAACTGAGTTTAGAAATAGTTTATTCAAAAGCGAAAGTATAAATGAATCTTGAGAGTGAGAGTGAAGATTAAGAAAAAAGCCTCACTCTCACTATTGAGTGACATGTTGTTTTCTGGATATTCTTGATGTTTTCCGTCTATTTTTTGCATTTGATGTCTTTGGTAATAAATGAGAATTTCTTCCATGAGGTTGCTACCGAAATATGGCAAGTACAAGTCAGAGACTGAAACAGGGCGAGTCGAGGTGGAGCGGAGAATAAAAATTTCATCTTGTTTCGATCTCTAGTTTCCACCAAAATCAATTTTATACGCATCGCTTTCGAGATAAAATTTGTCTAGTTAATAAAACTTGAGCGACACATACTCGATCGAGATAGAATAGAGATTGAGTGTATCAGTATGGCGTCGATGTTAAATCGACACTCACACTCTCAAGATGTGTGCCATCAAGACTTGTGTAGAAAACAAAATTTGATTTCTAACTAACAATTCATGAATATTCTCGCTTGTCAAGAACTGAAATCTTTCTCTTCTTTTTGTTCTCTTTCGCGACAATCGGTCATCTCTTCTATCATTATCATAAGTTAGGAAGATAAAAAAACGAATTGCAATAACTACTATGCCAAGTAAACTTTTTATCGAGAAAAACAATTTGGCTTCAGTTGCGATTCAATTAAAAAAAAAATGAGTGTCACTATTGGTACAAACGTCATGGGAATGAAGTGGGTGTGTATATGATATGAACACTTTCCATTATCATCAATCAAGTCAATTTTCTTTGAAAGAAACATTCTATACTACATCGTCATCGTCCGATTGTATATAGGCAAGTGTGCTGTTACATCGGTCAATGTATTGTAGGGTAATGTATCACGGACTATTCATTTTGATTGTTCTGTTTTTTTTTTCGACGAATAACTCATTGATAAATTGACCTTGTAACGATTGAGAATACGGACTGTTTTCTTTTTTCTACACATACATTGTTGCAGATATTGTCAATCATGCAGAGTTTTTCTTTTCAGAAGGGGCCAAAGGAACAGTTCATTTGTTCGAGTTGAAAGGTATTTAGCTACATTGACTGTATACAAAAAAAATCTTGCAGTCATATTCTGATTATGTGATTAAAATTAATCTCCGGTGATTGAATTTCTTTTAAGTGATGATTGTCCATGAACAATAGAATAGTTCGAAGAAAATATTCATCTTTCTGCTTTAGAATTTTCTATAACAATGAATGACTGTATGGTTTTGTCCATCGAAGCACTTCCCAACGAAGTATGGCTTAAAATATTTTCTTACATTCATATTGGCGATATTACTCGTGCTTTTCTTCGACTTAATAATCGTCTGACTAATCTCATCTATTCATTGCCTACGACTATTCATCACCATGAAATGGGCGTGTCTTACTATGACTATCGCACTCCTGTAACTCACATCAGTGTTCGTGATGGTCGTTCATTTTCTTATCATGTCAATGCTCAACATCTCATTTGGGTTTCTCTCGATCGACCATCTCCAAAACAATTACAATTTCTTCAATCAACATATTTACCACGTCTCAAACATTTGCATTTCAATGGAATTGGTACTATTAACCATGATGTGGCTCAATTTTATTACACTATCTTCAAGTCAACTCGTACCAATACTCCATCACTTATTTCATGTTCATTCCCTTCGATTTCTTCACTCAATTGGAATTAATTCATCGGAAGAGGATCAGCAATAAATCATACACTTCGTTCGTTAACACTTATTGACGATTATCATCTTCAGTCATACAAACTCTTTCGTTCTGTGCCAAATTTAACTCATCTGACTATCAAACGAGATGTAGCTCAGAATGAATCATTCATTGATATTACTCGACAATTTGGCATGCGTCGTAAACATGTCTTAATACATCCAGAGGATGGCAGAATGAAGAAAGTGAAATGTTGGCTCATTCCAAAAATGTTTACGAACTGGTTACCTCATCTTCGTCGATTGAAATTTGAATGTGAACTGGATCCTGATATGTGGAACTTTCGAACTATAATTGTTGTTCGAATAAGCTGGATACGAAATTCTTCTTATTTAGCCAAAATCTATCGTCTCGTTTGAAAATACTTTAGTTTGTTTGTTTGTTTGAAATAAATAAAAACATGAAGTGACGTCTACTTTTTCTTTATTTACTGCTATATTAAACCAAATTGATACGAGACATTCACCGGCTGTATAACTAGAATTTTTTCAAGCATCGTTGTCATTCCGAAAAGAAGAATCGAAAGATTATGACGAAGTATTAATTTGATTGTTATAAAAGAATTGAATGTGATATTCATTTTTCAACAATCGATGAGGTTTGATTTGAAGAGGATTCATTCGATCAGTTATTAACTCTTTGTACCGAAAAGTTAAGAATGTTCCACTTCGAACAAGAATACAAACAAGAGAACCAAGTTGTCCTGCATTTCGAGTACGTTGATAGATGTTGTTTGCTTTACAAAGTTGTTGTTCGACTTTAGAATTGGCAATAGTTTGGAGAATCTCAAGTTGTTGATCATTAATCTTTTGTTCTTGTCCATCGCTTAACTTCAAAAAGCTAACGTATTGAGGTTGAAATACATCTCATTTTTGGATACGTTGTGAAATCAAATAAGTCAACATGTATTCCTTGATCTCTCCATTGTTGAACTGTTCCTTTCAGAGCATACATTACATATTGTTCAGTCGTTTTCTCTTCAAACACATTCAAAAGAGATTCAAGACGATATGCAATGGAAATATGAGGAATTCGAGGAATCTCTGTTGGTTCTGAGGGTAATGGAACCAAATCATTTGTTCAACAAAGAAATCTCGTGCAATTGATAACATCACCCATTCGATATCGAACCAATCCGGCTTCAGTTGTATAAACCAACTCATATCGATTTCCTGGTTCGATTTCTAAGATGATAAGAGTTTTCGGTTGATTCTAAAGAAAAAGAGAGTAAAATACTCAATCATAGAATGGAATCATCGCATAGGGTGTGAGTGGGATTCTGCTTTCTACACCCATACCCCACCCACAGCCACATCCCCTCACAGCTACATTCACACCCATACCCACTTCCGCACCCACACATCCACACCCAACATATTATAGGAATTTCATTTAATTTAATACAACATCATAATTCAATGTCAATCGATGATTTATAGATTGAAAAATGATAAATGAATTGGAACGAAATAGAATATCTTGGCTTAATAAATTCTGTTCGATTTTCTTCTCAATTTTTGATAATGAATTTAAATAATATACTATAGTTGATAATTATTTTTTTGATGAAATACTTTTACATGTCTTAGAAATGTGTATTCGTTGAGAGAAGGATAAAAACATAAGAATGAAGCTTTGTAGACTAGCGGAAGTCTTATAAATGATTCATATTACAGTGAGGGAACATGAACTTGTTTGTCCATTGACATATATTGAGCTTCTTTGATTGTATATTCATTTATGTTAATAAAAGAACAAATTGACATTTTTAAAAATAAAACAATATTCATTTGAGAAAACCTATTTTTGATGACATTAGTCAATATGTGAAGATTAATATTTTATTCAAATCAATTTCATTGACAGTTTATTTTCATTGAGACAAAAAGAAAATATGTTCGTTATGCGTAAGTGTTTATTGAAAGATGCTATTTAATTAGACAATGAAAATTTTTCGAATACAGAAAAAAAAGAGAGAAAATAATTTATTTAGATATTTCGAATAGATTTATTTGTCATGATAAGCTACATTGTTTTGTTTCTCTTAATATACTTATCAAAATATCTTTTATCTATATGAGAAAAACTTTTTTTTCGAAAAAAAAACAAGCGAAACATTTTTCTTTTTTATTAAAACAAAAGAAGAAAAAAAAAGATGTGTCAACCGGTTAAATGATATGTAGAGAAAAAAAAACAAAACAAAACGATTACATGTTTATAGAAATAAGTAGATACATGTTATTTTCTTATTTGTGACTCCCATAGATAAATCTACCTGACAGAAAACATTCTCTGTCATATAAACGTTTTTTTTTTTGTTGTATTGAATGGATCTATTTATTTTCACTCGACATTCATATAAATCACTAATAATCTTTTTCGTACGATATAAAGTTCGGGGTGTGGGTGTGTGTATGGGAGTGAGTGTCACTAAACATTATACCCACACCCACATCTACACCCACACCCCACACCCATACCCACACCCACACCCACACCCACACACCCACATCCACACACACCCACACCCACCCACACCCACACCCACCCACATCCACACCCACATCCACACCCACACACCCACACCCACGGTTTATTAGGATCCTGACAGGATTTTAATCAAGAAGCAATTAGGATTCTTGACTGTTTATTATTATAGAACATCAGGCTCCGTCTAAGAAATCCTGAAATCCCGAAGGAAGCGTGTAGCCACGATTTAGCAGGATCCTGTCGGGATTCAGATCAGGAAAAACAAGGATATCAACAAAATTATGATTGCTTGAAAGTAAGGATCATGTCAAGAAACCATTGAATCCTGAAAGAAACGTGTAGCCATCGGTTTAGCCGGATCCGATCAGGATTCAAATCGGCAAAAACAAGGATATCAACAAGATTACCATTGTTTGAAAACAAGGACTTTTCCGGAAAACCATTAAATCCTGAAAGAAGCGTGTAGCCACGAAATTGTGGGATCCTGTCAGGATTTCAATAATTCAAAATTGGAAAAAAAATGATTCCTGATCACATCTTTCAGGATTTCACTAGGTCTTCTTCAAGATGTTTTCAAATTTCCTGATAGGATCTTTGTAGGACTGGACCAGGTTTCCTCCAAAATGTCACCAGTTTCTTGGCAGGATCTTTGCAGAATTTTCTAAATAGAACAGAAAATATATAAACACATAGAGTATCGATCTCTAGACCTTCAGTATACATACCGATCAGCTTACCCAGCTGGATGTGCCATGTCATTCCATATCACTTTAACGTTCAATATGTTAATTTTTGACCTTAATCTTAACTTCTATTTGAATTCTATCTGAATACAAATTGTTTCAAAAAACTCTGAAAATTCGATACCATTTTACATATGTTTTTAGTCGCTGATCTGCTGCTTTTTTTCTTAATTTCAATTTTATTTAAAAAAATATATTTTAAATTTTTTTTGAAATTAATCCTATCTAAAAATATTTTTTGAATTGTTTTCTAATTTCAATTCGATTTAAAAAATATATTTTGAATTTTTTTCAATGTAATTCTATTTAAAAAATATATTTTGAACGTTTTCAAATGTAATCAAAACTATGAGCAGCTTTTATCGAAAACCTTGCTGCTGAATAAAACTGTATTTTTACAGGAAAATTATTTTGCGATGACTAAATTCAAATTAACATTCTAATTTAATAATTTCAATTTTCTTTTTCTGATAAGCTTAAGAAAGAACTTATTGCTGTAGTCGAATCTCAAAACAACTTATATAAACTAAAAAGAGATTGAGAAAATATTTTTTTCTAAGATCTTTAGGATTCGTTCTATTACTGTATGAAAAGAATCACATCAAGATCAGGATAAAAATGCCACTAGATCGTTCAGTTCTCAGAATTTTGTCGTCTTTCGAACAAAACGCATTAATATCTTAAAAATCCTTCTATTTTTTTTTATTGAAATTTTGCTCAACATTGATATTGAAATTCTGTTGCAGTCTATAGATTTACAAATCTTGAAAGGATCCTGACTTGAGCTTACGTTGGCTGAAAGTGTCAGGGAACCGTTTCATTCATTCTTATTAAGTTCCTGATAGGATCCTGAAAGTTAAATTTTGAATGTCTCTAAACACAGACCTGGGAAGATCTTTACTAGTCCCTTGTATTTTCTTATCAAGATCGTGCTGATAGTTGCATTTATTTTCTAAGTATTCGAAATGCCTCTTCTTGAACAGTTCCGCTCAGGGATCTGATCAAAGTTTGACAGGATTTCTTAGTTGAAGACTGTGACTAATCTTGTTTTATTTCTGATATGGTCCTTCTCTGATATAACTATAACTCTTGGCAGAATCCTTGTATCAGGATCCAGAACAGATCTTCACCCAAACCTAATGCAATCTTGATGAAGTTTTCTTTATGATTTTTGTCACATTTCTGAATAGGATTAACGGTGAATCTTAGTAAGATCCTACAAACTCAATTCAGAAAAAAGAATCTGAGCAAGAACATGAACAAATCTTAGATAGAATCTTGAAACAAACCTCACAGGATCTTTGGGATTTTTGACTCTGAAAGATCCTTCAAGGCTATCTCAAGAAATTGACATGGCTGAGTGGACTAAGCAGTAACCTGTAAAGATCTCTGCTAAATCCTTACATATTCTTACCAAGATCGTGATTAGAATTGGCATTGTCTTGCAAGTTTTAAAAAAGCATATTCTTGAAAAAGTTCTGAACAAGATCCTGATTGAAGCGTTGCAGGATTAGTTTGTTTCATATACTGACGGATCTTATTATTTTCTTACCAGGATCCTTGTCTGATGTGGCTATCACTCTTGACAGGATCTCGATACAGAGTTTTGACCTAGATCCTGACGAGAACTTGACAGAATCCTCTCTCATTATCTTGAGAGGATCCTTAATAAAATCCTCAGGAAATCCTGATAGGATTCTGTATTCTCAACTTAGAAAAATATCTGA